GGGACCCCCGGGGCAGCAGTCGGACCCTCAAGGCAAGATGTGGGACCCCTGAGGCAGCAGTCGGACCCTCAAGGCTGCGTTCGGGACCCCCGGGGAGGTGAATGGACTCCCAGGACCAGACCCCCGTCCCGCGCGGAGGCCGGAGAGGGACGCGTGTGGGGAAGCGCCCGCCCCGGGTGCGATGCCGGCCGCCCAGGCCCGCCGGCCGAACTACCTGGCGCGGGCTTCCGCCGAGAGCAGGCCCCGCGGAAGTGAAGCTCGTCCCGGGCGGCGGCGTCCCAAGCCCCGCCCGCCCGCGACCGCGCGCGCCAATCAGACCCCGGCGGGCACGTGACGCCCGGCGGCCAATGGGGAGCCCGCGCGGGAGCACGCCCCCGAAGCCCCGCCCCATTGCGCGCGGGCGAACGCGGGATGTGGGCCCTACGGGCCGCCGTCCGCCCGGGGACCTGGCTCTCTCGCGTGGTTCTCGGCCGCGGGGCTCCGAGAGCTGCGCTGCCGCTGCCGGCCTGCCTCCATCGCGCGCTCGCCGCCTTCGGCCCCGGGGGCCTCAAGGGGCGAGGAGGTGGAGGACGGGGCCCACGAGCTGATGGCCCGAGAAGCCGAGCGGGAGAGGAGGAGGAGCCAGAAGATGCGGAGGAGGAGGAAGCGGAGGAGGAGGAGCTATTGAGGAGGGACCCTTTGCTGCCAGTGGGGACCCAGCGCGTGTGCCTGATTCACCCTGAGGTCAAGCGGGGACCGGGGAAGCCGCAGCTGACCCGAGGTGACCCGGAGCGGCGCCGCGGGCGGGGCCGGGGACAGTGAATAGCGGGGCTTCCGGGGGCGGAGACTCGGAAGGGCGTGGTTTAGAGCGCAGGGGCTCAGAGGCGGGGGGCGGGGACTCGGAGGGGCGGGGCTCCGAGGGCTGGCGCTCAGAGGCGGGGCTTCGAGGGCTGGTGCTCGGGGCGGGGACTCAGAGGGGCGGAGTTGTTGGGGGACGGAGACTCGGAGGGGCGTGGCCTCGAGTCGGTGCTCAGAGGCGGGGTTGTCGGGGGCGGGGACTAGGAGGGCCGGGACTCCGAGGCTGGAGTTCTGAGTGGAACGCTGGGGCGGGGCTTCGAGTCCTGGTGCTCAGGGCGAGGACTCAGGAGGGGTTGTCGGGGGTGGAGACTCAGAGAGGCTGTCGGGGTGGAGACTCAGAGAGGCTGTCGGGGTGGAGACTCAGAGGGGCGGGGCTGCCGGGGGCGGGGGTTCGGGGACTCAGATGCGGGACTATTGGGGGTGGAGACTCGGAGGGGCGGGGTTTCGGGGACACAGGGGCGGAGACCCGGAGGGGCGGTGCTACCGGGGGCGGGGTTTCGGGGACAGGTGCTCGGGGCGGGGCTACCGGGGGCGGGGTTTCGGGGACAGGCGCTCGGGGCGGGGCTACCGGGGGCGGGGTTTCGGGGACAGGTGCTCAGGGCGAGGGCTCGGAGGGGCGGGGCGCCGAGGGCCCCAATAAAACCCCACCCCGCCAATCCCCCAAACCTGCCGTGGGTCGCTGGAAGCAGCCCCACCCCCCTGTGTCTACGGCGTGCGCCGTCTTGCCTTTTCCGGAATGTCATAGACTCGTGCACTGTGCGGCCTCTGCAGACCGGCTCCTTTCACCCAGTAAAGTGCATGTCGGGTTCCTGCGTGGCTTTGTGTGGCTTGACAGCGCGCTTGTGTCGGCCGACAATAACCTGTTGTCTGGGGCGCCTGGTGGCTCTGTCGGTGAAGCGTCTGCCTTCGGCTCAGGTCATGGTCCCGGGGACCGCGTCGGGGTCCCTGTGCAGTCGGGAGGGAGCCTGCTTCTCCCTGTGCTCCTGTTCGTGCTCGCCTCGCTCGCTCTCTGTCTCTATCATCTGGGTAGGTAGACGATAGGTAGATACCACCTGACTGCTTTCCGAGGGGCTGCACCGTTTTGCATTCCCATCAGCAACCACGAGCAGATCTTGTTCGGTGCTCCGTATCCTCGCCAGCATTAGGTGCCGTCCACGTGGTGCATTTGGGGCCAGTCTCATCGGTGCCTACCGGGCTCTCGTTGAAATCTGCACGTATTTCCCCGACGAGCGCTGACGCGGAGCATCTCTTCCTAGCCTTTGCCGTCCCCGTGTGTTCCGTGAGGTGTGTGTTGGGTCTCCAGACCATTGTGTCATCAAGTTCTTCTCTTATCGCTGAGCCTCAAGGGTTCTTCGCACGCTGTGGATAACAGTCCTTTCTCGGATGTCTTACAAATGCTTCACTCCAAGTCGGTGGCCTGATTCTTCACTCTCTCGACAACGTCGTTACCACGGCAGACGTTTGTGATTGTCACTCTCGTCCTGTCTGCATGCTGACGGACCTGTGCCTCAACCTTGCCCAGCCCACTCAGAAGAGGACTTTTTCACTTCGATTAGAGTGTTTCTGACTGCTAACGTTTGTGTTCCGTTCTTTCTTAGAGTTCCCATCTGTCTGCTTACACTGCTCATCTGTTCTTCCGTGCTTCCTACTTTATCCGTCAGAGCCCATATCGTATGAATCATAGTCGTTTGTGTTTTTTTAAAGACTTATTTATTTTAGAGAGCACGTGCACAAGCAGGGGGAGGGGCAGAGGAAGAGGGAGAAGCAGACTTCCCGCAGAGCAGGGAGCCCAACATGGGATTCGATCCCAGGACCCCGGGATCATGACATCACCGACTGAGCCCCCCAGGGGTCCTATAGTCGTATTCAATTCCTGGTCTGACAAATCCAGTGTCTCCTCTGTATTGGACTCAGGTTCTGATGCTGCTCTGGGTCCTGTAATTTCTGCCTAACGGCTGGGCATAAGGCACCGGGCAAAAGATGCTGCTGTCCAGGGGCCTTTGGTGCTGTGGTGGTGAGGTGGGCAGGGGACGCGTTCCGTAGTCCCAGTCGTGAGTGAGCCTGTGTCTCTGAACTGTGGACTCCACAGTGTTTCTCAGTGTTCACTCCCACCAAGTGGGTACCCAGCCCTAGGGGTGGGGGCTTCCACGTGACATTTTGACCACACCCTCAGCTCGTGGGGAAGGCTCACGACCCCAGCAGGGTGTTGTGGGAAGCCTCATGCTGATCCACGATGGAGCTGGGGGACGTGGCCCCCACATGGAGGTCAGGAAAGACAGCGTCTGTGGGGTATGCTGATGGCCTACGCGTGACATTGAAGGAGGGAAGTCGAGGGGTGGCCCCATGCACCTGATCTGAGCGACCGCAAGGGTGGAGGTGAGGAGGACCCGCGAGGCCCATCAGGAGTCAAAGTGAGGACACTGTGCCTCCTCTCAGCCCAGAGGATGGGGCACCCCGTCTCCCACCAAGCAGAGCTTGGGGCCTCTCCCCAAGGCTTCGGATCCCTATGAGCTTTATCATTAGCATCCCCTCCCAGCCTCAGTTTCCTCCCTGTGCCTGAGCTCTGCGGACGATTCAGGCACCTAAGGTTTGCCACTGATCAGCAAGGCTGGCCCAAAGACCGCAGCACCTGGTCGCTGGAGTGGGGATAATGCAGCAGGGGGTGCGCTGTGCAGTTGGGACGGCTCCTCTGTGACATCGTGCCGCAGGGGTGGGGGGCAGCCTTGTGGGGCAGTCGGGAGAGCGCAGTGTCTCAGAGTGGCCCCCATGGTCTGTCATGACCCAGCAGACAGCACATCTTGCGTGGCAGCCCCTGAGGGCCCAGGGAGCACGCCGCATTCCCTGCAGGGTGGGCCGTGAGCCACAGGGGGCAAGGAGTGGGTATCCCCAGAGCCCAGTGCCAACGCAGCACAGGAAAGATCGCGGCTGCCCTGGACAGACAGGATGACGCGTGGGGCCTGGGTGCCGGCCCTGTGCAGGAGGGGGCCTGGGGAAGGTTCCAGGAGCATCCCAGACGGTGGGCGGGGTCCCAAGGAGGGGCTGGTCACAGGAGCTGAGGGCGTGGGGGGCTGGGGCCTTGAGCAGGGGCTGCCCGTCATACGTTGTCCTGGTGGCGTTCCAGAGCAGACATCCCGTTCGCTGCCAAGCCCCCAGTTCCCACGTAAGGAGGGCCCGTCGTTGCGTGCCCCTGGCCTTGTCCTCCCCTTCCCGCAGTCTGTGCCTGGAACAGCACAGCTGTGTCTCTGGGTGCTTTCTCAAGAGCTCTGCGCACACTGCAGGAAGCCATCGCAGCCGAGGGACACGGGCCAGGGCTGGATGGGGCCCGGGGCTGAGCCCATGGGGACACGTCCCTCACCCTGGCCCTGTGTCTCCCCAAAGCTGAGTGGCAGGTGGCAGAGGCAGAAGCACTGGTCCACACACTGGGTGGCTGGTCAGTGGCGGACAGGATGGTGGTACCCAGCAAAACACCAGATGGGAAGCTCATCTTCGGCAGAGGGACCTTAGAGAACCTGACAGGTGGGTCCCTGTGCCCCTCCCTTCCTGCTGAGAGAAACGGAGCAAGAGTCGGGCTCTCCATCTGGGCTGGGTAGAGGTGGCCTCATGGGAACTTGGATCAGACGTTGAAAAGCCCACCGTGCCCCTCAGACAACTCGCACCCTGCCCGGTGGTTCCGTCGGCAGTTAGGAGTAGGGTGGAAACCGGCCCTGAGGCCCCCAGCCCAGCCCCCGCTCCAGATAGGGCGCTGGGTGTGAACCCAGCCTTCCACAGACCCCCGAGGGTCTCCAGCCCCAGCCGACATCCAGCTCACCGTAGAGATCAGCAAGCTGAGCCCTGCAGATACGCCCAGAGGGGTGCGCGCCGCCCGTCTGTGTCAGCCCGGGTCTTAGACCCATTCAGTCCCTGTGGGGTTGTGCGACCGCCATGTGTCTGCAAGACCCACACTCCTGCAGGTGGACTCCAGTCCTTCCCTCGACCCCCGTCCGGCACACCCGACTTCCCTAATATGCGCACAGAGAGTTGAGGGTGTCCGGTGAGCACAGCCAACCAAGGCTGAGGGTCAGTCCCACGATGGACTGCACGGAGCACAGACATCTGAGGGGACCTTCTCTTCGCCCCAGAGAAAATCAGAGGGTCGCCAGACATCACAGCGGTCTTTCTGAATGTGGAGAGGCTGGCCACGCCTACCAAGGTATTTGGGAGTCTCAGCGGGCTGGGGCAGTGGGGTCAGCATCCCGCTGGGACGGCACAGCTGAGGATATGGACTTGCAGACGGCGTCACAGCCGCCCCCTCACCCACGGTACCACGGCAGACGCTTTCACCCACGGTACCACGGCAGACGCTTTCACTCCCTCCCTCTCCCTTTTCAGAAGGACCTGGAAGCCGCCTGGGGTGTGCAGGTGTTGGACCGATTCACGGTCGTCCTCCACATTTTCCGCTGCAATGCCCGGACCAGGGAAGCGCGGCTGCAGGTGGCCCTGGCCGAGCTCCCCCTTCTCAGGTACTTGGCGCAGCCGACGGCAGAGCCTCTTCTCGCAGTTGTGTGTTTGACTTCACCCTCACCTGGAGCGCAGCGAAGTCGGAATGCAGGGCGGGCCACGCCCTCCGGGACAGCTTGGCTTGTCCGGTGCCACGTTCCAGCAGCATGCCTGCCGGGGCACGTCACCCCACTGTGGGGCCCTCCACCCGCGGTGGTGAAGGCCCAGGTGGGGGGAAGACCACCCCGCCTTGCTCTCTCCAGCCAGAGTTCTCACCCTCACTTGTCTGTGTTGGCACCTGCTCTGCTCTCACTGCAGGGACGTGTGTCTGCTCCTGTCTGCTGAGATGCCCCCTTTCCACGGCAGGTCCCAGCTGAAAAGCAGCATTGCCCACCCGGATGGACGAGGAGGGGGCTCGCGCTACATCATGGGGTCAGGTAACGTGTGAGGTCAAGGGGTGCTGAGGGGGGGATGTCACAGCAGCTACCCCTAGGGGGAGGACGCTGCAGAAAGATCCCAGCGGGGCAAGGGCTGCATGTGGGCCTTGTATGTGGTCACATTCAAACAAGCGAAGATATCTAGGTAGTCTCCTGGGGCAGCTGTAACAAAAGACCACAAACCAGGGGTTTAAAAACCACTGTGGAGACCAGAGTCTGAGATCCAGGCGGGGCAGGGCCGCTGAGATCCAGGCGGGGCAGGGCCGTGCTCCCTCCGGAGGCTCAAGGTCCTTTCTGCCTCGTCCAGCTTCTGGGGCTCCAGGCGTCCCTGGGCTGGTGGCCATGGTCCCTCCCATCTCTGCCTCTGTCTTCACGTGGCTTCTCCTCTGTGTCTCCTTCTGTCTGTTCTACAGACGTTTGTCTTTGGATTTAGGGCCACCCTCATCTAGGATAAGCTCACCTCAGATCCTTGACCACTTATATGTGCCAAGACCCTATTCCAAAATGAGGTCCCGTTCACAGGTCCTGGGGGTCAGAATGTGGATGTGTCTTTCAGTTGGCTGTGGGTATCAGGCGGCTGTCCTTCTGAGGCTGCCCCTTGCTCCCCAAAAAAGGGGAGCCCGCCTGACTTCGGGGGGCAGAAGGCCGCAGGTGAGGCCACTTTCTGCTGGACAGAGCCGTCTTGTTGATAGGAAGGCGAGGCAGCGGCCTGTGGGAGAACAGGTCAGGAGGATCCCGGCGAGAAGATGTCAGTCCACATCCCTCTCTGTGGCGCACTTTGCCCTGACATCTTTCCTGCCGCATCTGCCCGCTGACTCGCTACCTTGGGTGTTTTTAGGAGAATCGTTCATGCAGCTGCAACAGCGCCTCTTGAAGGAAAAGGAGATAAAGATCCGGAAGGCCCTGGAGAGACTGAGGAAGAAAAGGCGTCTCCTGGGGAAGCAGCGGAGGCGGCAGGAGTTTCCTGTGATCTCTGTGGTGGGATACACAAACTGCGGTGAGAGCACTTCCGGGCGCGAGAAGTAGGGTCCACTGTCCCGTCCCCCCCAATATCCCAGCGTTGCGCTAGTGTATTTGGGGAGGACCGCTTGCAAAAGCAACAAGACCGTGGTACTCAGAGGGCGGACAGATGACGAGAGCAGGTGGAGAGCGTGGCTGGTATCCCCGGGCTGACAGTGACCACGGCCAGTGCCCTGTCAAGTCCCTAGAGTGGTTGTCAAACGCTGGGCGGGGGACTGGGCTCCATCTCTTACCGGTGCTCTTCAGACTCCGAGACAGAAAACAGTCTGACGTTTCTAAGCTCGTTTACGGTAGACCTGCCCGTAGAAGAATAAAAAACAATTCCGATTGTGCCCGGTAAGACTTCACGGCGCATTCCAAGGCTCAGCTTAACGTGCGGTTAGCGTGATCGTGTGCGGTGTGCAGACTCCTGGGTGTCCTTCGTGCTGAAGCCCTGAGCTCACGGGTACCCTCCCGTGAAGGGAAGGCACGGCAGGCTCGCTTCTTCACCATCGAGATTCACTCCACAGCATGTGCCGCCGTGAGTGCAGTCCCCCTGTGTGTGCTCCGAAAACCAACGTGACGCGACCGCTCCCTGTCCTCGAGGAGCTGGCGGTCCGTGTCCGGAGCAGGGGGGGACCGTCCCAGAAAACCTGGACCGGAAAGCTGGGGGCACACCTAGGTTTTAGAGAATCCTGTCTGCGTACACGCAGTTCACACCTGGTGGGAAATGCAGAATACCGCGTGGCCTGTCGGGCGGTGACTATGGGGGTTCCTCGTCCGTGGCGGACGGGGGTTACGCCCGGGGCTAGCGGGATCCCCGCGGCTCAGCCTGCACGGACGAGAACCGGAGGAGGCCGTGTCCTGGCACCGGTGTGTCCGGCGGTGCCAGGTCTCCCCCGGCAGCATAATCCTCTCCTGACTGACCTTCGCAGCAGGCGACTCCGGGGGCCGCCAGTAACCCCCTGTACTAGCCCAGGCCTGGGTTCCTCCCCCACTGAACACGGAGCTTGGGTGCAGACCCAGCTCCATCTGGTCGGGAAGGCCGAGCAGGGGACGACAGCTGGGGCATTACAGACACTCTAGGACTGCGTGCACCGTCACACTCCCGTCCGCCATCACCCGTCTACACAGGCGCTCAAGCCTCC